GAGGAATTAATGGGAATGAGACCTATATACATTTTCCTAATTCTATATAAAACCGAGTACAATTTAAGACTCAAATGCGGGTGAAAATCAAACAACGTGAAACAGAAAAATGGTAATGTTATGAAATTAATTTTAGTCCAAATGGATAGGAAGATAAACAGAAATGTATAAAATGCTAAAGATAAATTCTGGCAAAAAATTTTCAGGTAATAAAGTAAGGGCAGAAGGAAACTAAAATGAATGTTTTGTTCAAGGTCCACAAACTACCAAACAAGTGAAAATTACTCTTCACTTGTGCCAACAGAAGTTAAATAAAAATAGATTATTTCAGTGATGCCTCATCACCTTCTAGTTCACATGACAGAACATCATTATTTTTTGCCACCAATGTCCCTGTGGTTTATCTCCATCTTTCCTTCATTCTACTTTCTTCTACTTCTCCCCACAAGAAAATTCAAATTACCTTTTGGAAAAACTCTCCACCATTTGCAGTAACAAAATTAATTTTGCCTTATGTTTAAATACAGTATCTCATTATAACTGTTATACTAACTACATAAAGTCAATATCTTTCACTGTTTTTTGTAGCTGCTTATTTTTTGTGTCCCACATTATTCCCCCATGTGCGTTTTTTTTTTTTCATGAAAGTCTTTGGATTTTAAGTTCGTTTAGTTTTGTCCGCATAAACATTTTTTTATTTTGCCCTCAGTCTTCAATTAAAAATTTCAGGTTGACAATTTTCCCTTAGCACATTAAAGATCTTTCACAATTGTCAACTAAAATCTATTGGCATCAGTTTGATTTTCCTCTTTGATGCTCTGTTGATTCCCTCTCGTAATTGATTAGATTTTATCTATAGCCTCAATTTATGTTCCACAATATTCAAATGATATGTCAAATGAGAATCTCCTTAGATTTAACCTGTTTAGTACTTGAATGGCACTTTCCATCTGGAATCCATAACTTTCTTCAATTTTGTAACACTTCCAATTATTGGCTCTCCAAGGATTATTTCTAACAATTCTTCCATTGTTTTCTTCTGAAATTCTTATTAGATGTATTTGTAGTTTATTATTCTTCTCTAGAAGTCTCTTAACTGTTCTTTCAGAGTTTTTACTTCTTTGATTCTCTGTACTGCATTCTGGGTAATTTTCTCAATACTATCTCGTAATTTTTAAGTCTTTGTGGCCCTCTATTTATTTTATTTATTTACTTAGTTTACACCATTCATTGCATTTTTTATTTCTTTCATGCCCATTGGATGTTTAGTAATTTTATATAAATCACTTCATGAGTTTGATCATTTTTAACATACTTATTTTCAGGTTTGATTTGACTATATTACAAAATTAATCTCACCTGGAAAGAACTCATGTTCTAGCTGTTGATTTTATTAACATTAGAGTTCTTCATGAGTTTTGGAATTTTATTTTTCTGGCTTTTTCTGAAAAAGAAGTTCTTTGTTTTTATTTTTATCTCTTCCTCGCTCTCCTATGCTCACCTTTTCTGTTCAATGGTTTTGTGGGTGATGTATCTATTCCCCAGAGGTCCAATGCCATAATGATGGTCTAGAATTATTAATCCACAGTGGTACTGAAAACATCATAGATCTTGTTCCAAGATGACAGGTGAGCAATTTTGTTCAGTCTCTGCTTGCAGGCCCCTGGACCAAAGCTTGGTCTGAGTCACAGTCCCAGAAAACAACTGAGAACCATTATTATCAGCCTCTCCTAATTGAGGAACACCACCCCAGCCTGACTTCAAGCACAGAGCTGGCTCTAATGTCACCACTGAAGTAAGGGTATCTGAGTTTCTACTGCTCTACCAATGCCTGCTTTACACCTAGCCTCAATTTGTGTTCTGTAATTTCCAAATGACATGTCCAATGAGAATTTACTTATATTTAACCTGCTTAATACTCAGATGGCATTTCTATCTGGGATCCATCCAACTACAACCGGCCTTATCACTTTGCAAGTGTATTTCATTTCTAGTCCATATAAATGTTTACTTTATTTTTCAACTCAATTAATACAAAATTATTAGTTGATAATAATAATTATCAACTCTGATGCTCCGCATTTTCTCTTTTGTATTAGGTCTCATTGCTATGTAATTGGAAAAGAAACGCTGCATCAAGTATGAAGTACTGTGAAATTTTGAATGGAAATCCCAGCACTGAATTTTTTCTAACTTGATTAATACTGAACTAGAAAGTCATGGGAAAATAAACCAGTATGATGGAATGTAAGAGAACAGTGAATTAGAGAGCAGAGATATTAATAACAGCTAAGGCTTAGTCTATGTTAAGAGCTGTTTCAAGTGTTTATTGTGGATTATATACCTTTTATTTTCATTATATTCTTTTACTATTACTATCTTTATAGTCCATAAAAAGAAGGAGGAGGAGGTGGAAGAGGAAGGGAAGAGAAGGCAGAGGGGCAAGAAAGGAAGAGAAGAACAGAGAGGCTGTGTAATTTTCCTAAGGTCACACAGCCAGTAAGTGATAGATTGAACGCAGAGTCTAACTCCAGGGTCAGAATCTTAAATACCATACTGTACTGCCTAGTCCCATCTCAGAGTAGTTTTGCAATCTTGGGAATGCTATCTCACCTCTCTGTGACAAAGTTTTCTCAACTGTTAAATGAAATGATTATACTAGATAACTTCTATTTTTCCAAACTCTAGTCATTTATGATAAAATGAATTTATAATTCCGGTTGGTTCTCTATTTCAGAGTAGACTCTTAAATTTGTTTTTGAGCTAAAATTTTTGGCAAATCTCCAAATTTATTTTAAAACAATCTTTCATAAGATATGTAACACATTTAAAGAGAAAAATTCATCTCTTGAAATGTTTTATAAGAAAAAAAAGAGAAATTCTGCAAATAATTATGAGTCTGAAATGATAATATTTAGCAAAAGTCAATTCAGTAAGTATGAAATGTCTTGAACATAAATATAAAAGTATAGTTGTATGACTTGAGTTCTGATTTTAATTCTGTCTCTAACCCAAACTTAACTTTTTTGGACCCCAGTTTCCTTGTTTCTGAAATGAGATAATTCGATTTCTGAGATCTCTTCTGCTTTTAACATTCTCTTATTTCACAAGTGAGAATCTATCAAAACAGTTCAATGAAGGTATTATTTAAATAGACTGAAAATATATGAAAAGCAAAAGCTGCTTTTATCCCATGAATGACAAAAATATCTGGGTTGTTAGTTTCCTAATTTACTTCTCACAGGAAGAGTATACTGTGGTATTTAGTTAAGAATATGAGCCTTAGATTGCCTGAGTGTTTCATTCTAAAGAGTTACTTAAACTCTCTGGGCCTGATCTTACCCATTTATAAAGTGAAGATAATGACAATTACTACTTATTGTGATGACAAAGCGAGAAAAACTGCTTATGCCTGGCACATGGTAGATTTTCAGTAAGTGCTTGCATTTATTATTAGTAGTAATTTAAATAATTGAGGGTGTTTGTAGAGTTTGTCTGCAATCCTACATATCTATTAAAAACATGTGTGCACATCATCATAAATAATTTAGGTGCCTAAAGACAAAGGGGTATGACAGAGAGAATTTATTGCAATTTTTTTATGCTAAAATTTCATGCTCCATGTCTATGTGTATTAGTTTGATAAGTGATGATTTAATAGGCATTTAGTATTGTTTGATGCTTTATACATTAGGCAAATTAGAAACAGTTCTTGCCTTCACAATAAAAGATAGCATTTCAAAACTATATACAAATGGGAAAAGATGATGATGCAGCAAATGAGAGACCTTAGCTTGCTGATCACACAACTTCATGCCCGGCAATTGCATGCACTTGCCAGTAAAGAGACACTGCAAGAAACGACAATCACTGTTTCTTCAAAACCCCTGAAATCGTCTTAAGACATGAAAACTGTACACAGCCTCAGATGTTTTTACCAAAATCTATATTTCTATCCTTCTGACTGAAATGGAAGAAACTAAATTGAAATGTAAATGAATGAACAAATAGAGCGTGAATAGAAATATTATAATAGAGGGTTCATTTTATGAATACCTTTTATTTTAATGAAGTGTAATCTTTAGATTATAAATTTTGATGTAAATCCAAATCTATTTTTTTCATAAAATAAAAAAAAGAGGAAAAAGAAACAAGTAAAACCACTAACGGTGCCCAAATTGAAAGCTTCTTGCTTACATCTACAATTGGTGTGTGATATTTCTCTTAACTCCTTCTTTGGGCCATAACAACATAAAATTCATAACATCTGGCATTTAACTTAAAAAATTCAAATCAATTTAATTCAAACACACTTTTTGACTTAAAGAAACTATAAAATTTCTTCGTTTAGTTTATGATAGCAGTGACCTATTTCAAACAGGTTCAATGAGAATCCATACTGGAAACTGCCTTGAAGATACAAATTGCTACAATTATCTTTGAATATACATATCATTAAACTAAAATGGATGTCAATAAGCCAGCACGAAAATATCTAACCTATTCAGAACATATTATCACAAAATAATAAAAAAATAATTTCCTTCCTCTTTCAACAAAGATAATATAGACTATAATTTTCATGTTTCATCTGTATATGTGAAATCGAATATTTTCCTCTATGTAAACAATTCTTTTATTTTCAAAAGACAAATGCATGTGTGTGTATATACGTGTGTATGTATGTGTATATACTAATATATATGTGTGTGTATTTTAAGTCAGTCAGCAGTTTACTTTAAAAAAATATAAGCAGGGTAGTTTTAAAATAAAATATTTTGGTAATATTTGAACTGAAATAAACACGATATGGTATTTAAAAAATGTAGTTAAAATGCCAAGTATTTCAAAGATATGTTTAGAACAGTCATTCTTAATAGCATTCAGAATCTTTTGGCTCTTTCCAAGAGAGGTATTTCAATGCAAGAAAAAAATAAAATGTTCAGTTATTCATTCCGATTGCAGTTTTTAATGTAATTTACACTGTGCATCCCGTTCACCTTGTCAAAGAGTACTGCTTCCCCAAGGCTGCCCCGGGGTCCTGTTGACGGATTGCTCTAATTGCAGTCGGCGCTATAAACAAGGCAGCTACTCCATGCTCTGCCAGCACACGGAAATAAGCTCCAGCATCTGGTGTTCCCACAGGCTTCCCCTACAATGAGATTCATTTAAAATGTCACTGGGTAAAATGTCTCATATTTTATTGACAGTTCAATACTATGCATTTAACACAGAAATATTAATGAAATGGAATTCTCAACAAATCTTAGGTTTAAAATCTTCCCATGTTCTAGCATAAATAAAACAAACCAAATGCCCAGGCATCAACGAGGCCATTTGCCTTGTTACAACATCTCAAAAGCTTTCAAACTGTAATTCCTCTTTTCCAAGTTTTGAAAGATAAAGGACAGATAATATGTGTCACATTCAAGTTAATAACATCCAAAAGTCTTCCATTTGACAAGAAATTAAATATATGGTTTTGTGTGATAGACTAAATGAGAAATATAGTTGCTATAAATTTCTACTTTAAACTTTTATCATGATCACTATTAAAAGTGACAATAATAATTCTCAAAATATTTGAGAGAAAAATCTGGAATCAGCAACTTCTGAGCAATGACCTTTTCGATTAAAGTTGCTTCACTCTAAGGAAAACTTCTATGAATTTAAAAAAAAGTCCCAGAATGTATATTTTCCACAGTCTCAAAATGACATTATACATGTTCAATAGAAAAATCATGCAGAAAAATCTAACAATTCTGACAGACTATATAATTCAAAAGGACACAAAGCATTTTTTAATTGATGTTTCTGCAAACTGAAAAATGAATGTGGCATTTAAGTATATCAGCAATTCTGCAAATATTTGAAGTGACCCATAAAATCTATCTTGGCTCAGCTATACCCCCTCATTCTTTAACCCATTCTCATCACTGCTACTTCTTCCTGTGTCTCTAAAGCAAGGTGTCTGGAATGTTAATATATGTCATATATGTAACATTTCCTAAACTTCTCTGACTAAATTCCTCATCTGAGCATCCTGTGGCTCTTACATTCTGGGAAACATGCTTGGGAAACACTGAACTAAGGTAAAAAAGAGGCAAGAATTTGCTAGCAGTAAATTTAGAGACCTCCCCCCAAGAGAATCATAAATGAATACATGATAATATGAGGCAGACCATAACTGTCCAGTAATTTAGATTCATTATTCACTTCTAATTGATTCTTTGATAGGACACTATTTCAATTTTACTTTTATTTTTTCATGGTTGCCTTAATATTCTTTAATGTAATTATATTCATTTTTTAAAAAAAGGTTTTTAGGTCTTCTTATATTCTACTGCTTTGCCTCTTGCTCTTTTAATACCAAAGAAAAGTATCTGTTGCTACTAGAAATTCATTTTATTATCACAACTATCCCTAAACACTTGATTCCAATTTATTTCTTTACCACTTCATAATAGGTCAACATATTGACATAGTGTAAAAAGCTGCTAGATACAATCTGGCAAATCATGGGCATAATTTGACCCACAAATTTCGAAGCTTTAATCGCATCATTCTAAAAATGCATTCTTCCTAACCAAGCGAGGTAAACATTTGACTTTTTACTTCTCTGATCTGTTTTAGGCACTGCTCAGTCTCTCATGTACTAGATTGTGACTTTGGGAAATTTGATCTCAACCACATAAAAATGATTTATCAGTCGACCTTAAGCAATTGACTTTCCCTGTTTATGCTTTCATTTTCTTGCCTGCTAAATTAAGAATAAATCATTTTTCCAATAGTCCCTTGATAAGCTAAAAGCACTGAGATAATATTTTAAAGTAGTTTGACCTCCACTGAAGAAAGATATTTTATAACCAATTGAAGTTTAATTCCACTACAGAAACAGTGTCATGGGACAATGGTAATATACTCAACGAAAGTATGATATAAGTGTCATAATGAAAATGCTACCCTATAATGACTATCTATATAGAGGACACAATTTGATGTATTTTACAGTGCCTTCAATTAATCACATCTAATGATAACAATAACAATAGTTTAAGTATTAGAAATATTAGATAAAACTTTACCATACTTCTTATAAATAATATAAAATTATAACTATTTTGCAATTCTGACCTTGCACCACACAAATTTCCATCAATATTATATTTATTGAGTATAAAAATCATATAACATAGCATTACTGTTAGGACACTGAAGGATGTGATATATAGAAGCTCACAATGTTCTTTGGAAGTTAGTAGAACTCAGGAAGGTTTAGCTGTTTTACATTTTATTGTCCATTCCCCTTGAAGCAGGCTATGAATATGATGTTTCCCTATTTTAGAATTACTTTAACATTTATATACTTCATTAGTTTGTTTTCTTAAGAACTTCTATTTGATCTCAAATCTTAATTAAAATGTAAGTTATGATATATTAAAAAATTATTATACCCTAAAACAGTTGGTGAGTAAAAGAAATATTAGGTTCTGAGTGATGTAAACACTTCAAGTAATATGCAGCACAGAACAAGACCTTTTATCAGAAACCACTGTCCACATAAAAACAAGTCATAATAAATCAGGTAGGGTTAATATATTTATTCATTTAATAGATGTTTATTGAGCATCTACTATTGGCTAGACACTGTTCTAAATTCTGGGAATAATTTCGTAAACAAGCTAGGTCAGGTCTTGTTTTAATGGAATTTATATTCTAGTAATTATGGGTGTGTATGAGAGATAATGTTATTAAAAATTACATAGCAGATGGTGCAAGCGATTTGTGTCTAATAAAGGGAAGGAATATCTTAATAAACATAGGACCTATATATTCTCAGCACTTATTATTACCACCAGTAGTTTCAGAAAACTGAAGCAAAGCCTATAAGCCTCTTTCATTATGATCTCTAAATGAAAATGACACAATGACCTTGATTTTATTGAATACTGTTCTCTCCTGACCTCCTGCACATACACAGGCTCCTGTGCACACAGAGACACACACAAATATGAGCAATATAATCCCTTTAAAATGCTTTTTTTAAAGTAACCAGTAACATACTAATGAAGCTGAGCTGCATGGAAAAAAATTATACTAATTCCAGAACTTGCATATTCAGTAAGGAGCCCAAACACTATTCAATTTTAAAATGAGAAAATTCTAAGATTCTAAGGATTTTTAGCAAACAACATACACACCAACAGCAGTAATGCAACTAAAAGGTAACAGTAACAAAAACTCTTCAAAACCCAAATCGATGTCTTTACCACTTGCTTTTATTTCCTCCCCCTGAACTACACTTTACCTTACTGATCGCTGCCCAGAAAACAAAGGCAGAAAGCAATCCCTACAATGGCAAAGCAGATATTATAAGCCTTCAGTTGTTATAAATCATTTTTAATATCAGAGATTTATAAAATATCAATTGTGAATATTTAGTAATGATACAAAGCACAGAAAACAACACAGATACCACATATCTTAAAATTAATTTGCGCTTATAATTTTCTACCACTTATGATTCAGTGTGTTAATATTAATGGACTGCAGATGATAAGTTCTGAGTCAATTTATTGTTGAGAGGTCATCAACAACTGTTTTTAATGCTTTAATGTCAAGAGGCTGGAAGGTAGAAATACATTTTGCAATTAAATATATGGCACTATATATTTCCTTAAGTGGAAACCACATATTTCCCATATAGCCTAATTTAAAAAAATATATATTCCTTTAGAAATATATGGAACTAGTTTAATATTGACCATTTTTCTACTTCTCTTTCAAATCTTTCCATTTTCAGCAAGGTTCTGCTTAGTGTTTGAATAACATTCGCCCTGACTTGTTGCATAGGAATTTCCCATGGCCACCTTAGAAAGCCTGGACACAATTCATTCCAAATCCTCAATGTCAAAGAAAGTTCCATGGATGCCTCAAATGTGAAAAGTAGGGAGGTAGAATTAAGAAAATACCAACTGTAAGGTGCAGAGGCCAGGAGAATATTTACCAAGATAACATGAAACCTGTTCAATTCTATCCATAGTCTTTCTTGGACCATTTAAACATGGAGCTATTTTGTTTTTTAACTTCATGTATAATTTAAAGAGTTCACTGAGAGCTCAAAAACAAGAGAATACCTGTAGAAATTGTAGGTTTTTTTGGATAACATAAAACTTCTTACATCAATTTCTACTAGAAAAAATAGTACTGTTGGAATTGGATTTTACCTTATGGCCTTCTTTACTACTCTTTGCTTTCTATAAATTATATTTCATTTCTGTAAATGAAATAAGGAGGACGTTATACTAAATTAACTAAAATAGAAATGCTAGATTTAAATTCAGACTTGAACACTTTGGCCAAAATTGTAGTTGAGCTCATATTGGGGACCACCTACCAGCAAGTAGAGGAGTCCTATGTGTCTTTCTTTGGAAGAGTTGAATACTTAAAAGCTGCGACACACTTGCAGTTCAGTGATATAAAGTCCTTTGTCGCTATTATAGAACTTTAATTTCATGTACTTCATCCTATATACTTCATACATCAAACTATCCTATATACTTCATACAATTATTTTTGAAAGAAAGCATAAACCACTGTTTTAGAGAATTCAGTTTTTGAAAAAAGATTATTTTAAAAGAAAAAGTCATATTTATGAATATTATTTCTATTGTTTACTTCTTGTAAACCATCATTAAATGAATTTTGCAATGTAATTTTTTTATTATTTGAAAGTAATTCGTGCACTTAACATTTTTTGATCTTCTTGGGGTGACTTTCGTTTCTCCATAAACCCAATTGAGGATGTTGTACCAATTCACTTCCTTCTTGTTCACTGTTTAAAATGAGTATAGGTGAGAATACCAAATAATGTATATAATACGTCAAGAGCCTGATTAACCAACAGCAAAATCCCTGAATGAAATATATTCCAAATAAAATAATCCAGAACTCGAAGTGTCCAAACATGTTATAGGTGACTGGTGAAGTGTTTCCAACGATCCAATAAATTGATAAATTCACCATGAAAGCTACTACTCCAGATAGCAGAACCATAAGCAAAGCAAAAACTGACCAGGGACCAAATAGTCCTCCTTCTCCAAAAACTGGCTCAATGAAGGGCACCGGGGACCAGCAACATGGCAGATGACA